TACATCTCATAATTCTCTAATTAAAAGAATCGTATTTAACAACAGTAACACCTTCATGACTGTGTAAAACACGGAGGGTTTCAATAACATGGCTGAGTCTTTGCAAAACAGTCCAATGAATATAAACAACTGAAATGCCAACAGCTGTACAATGAGGAAACTAAAATGGAGGAAAATCACATCGATGCTGTCTTCATTGTGGAAATGAGCAGAATCCTTCAGAGTCTCAGAGTGCTGCATCCTGACAGCTCACTCTATACTTTCCTTTCAACTTCTGAATATCTTCCAATAAATCACATTATATACGTAATAATGATGGGAAAATGCGGCCTTCATCTCAATAAAGAAACGTGAAAGCTTTCCCATTTGTTTGAAAACCTCTTTTTGACCTCAAGCGAAGGGAAAACCGGGATTAGTTTAGAGCGACAAGCTGCCAGAGAGACACTAACAGGCTGCAATGAAAACCACCATAATGACAAACTCTACTCAACATGACACTTTCCCAAATCAATATTAAATCTGAAGAAAGAATGCATTGGAAAATAGAAATATTGTTTATCTAAAAGAAAAGGTCCGGCTGACATTCTTGAAGTTGCTACATTTAGGGAGGATTATTTAAAAACAGCAGTACAGTGAATACAGCTGATTAAAACCAAAAAGCTGCAGGTTCCTGGATTTATTTGCTACGTGCTGATGGGATTATAGATGTAAATCAGTGGAGGCTTTTATAGGCAAAGCTCAAACATCCCCTCCGAGAGAGATGAATAAAAAGCTTGATTGACAGGTATAAGGTGCCGATAACGTGTGGATGAAACAGTTTGGTTTGTTTGCTTCTTCACAGTCTGATAAACAGAGGACAGAGAGATTGCGGCCCATGTCTATTCATGGTGCCGGCTGACGACAAAAGATGCGGCCGGGACACACATTCCAGCCTGCTTCCGCTCCAGCACACAAGCTCAATCCAAGGGATTTCCCCTTTCAAAAGGGAGAAAAAGGGCTACAATATCACCTCTTTTAGATTGAGGGAGAGACTGGCCGGGGTAACCGGGTGGAGGGACTCCTGTCATTCACTTCTTTGAAACATTTCCTGATTTAGGTTTCAGGGGAAGTCAGGTTGTGAGCAGAGGAGGGGTGAGAACCTTTCAGGTTTGGTTGAGGCTGTTCAGAGAGCAGGTGATTGGTCTCCATCTAAAACACAGCTGTTTCATTTGGGAATTTCAGTTTATTCGTGTCCATGGTTGATATTTTCTGTGTAGATGAGCATTTCTCGGGCTACATTCGAAAGGATAACAAGCTAATCATTAACTTAGATAAAACAGCATCTTGCTCTTTGTGGAAACCAGTGAGGAGCAGAATAATGAGTCCTTACAGATAACTAGCGAGCATGCAGCGAGTCCTTACAGCAAGAACATGCACTACAAAGTGACCAACAACGGAATAGCTTCATATCACAAAGAGGATTGAATTTCAGGACTATTTGACAACTCAAGCAAGAAAAGATTGAAATAAGGGCTGCTCTGTGCTGTCTCTGTAATGGCATTTGCTTAGTCTTTTGGAAACAACAGGGACAAATCAGGGCTCGAACAACGAGCTTTAATAAAGACGTTTCTCTGGGAACTTAACCGTGATCGGCGTCACTATCAGTCGGTGTTTATCTCATTTTCGAGGCTCGTTAATTGTGTGCGCCTTGACACGCAGACACATACACATGCAGCGCTGAGTGTGGACATCCAGACACACTCGTTGGCGCAGGGGCACACTTCAGTCTGGAGTGTCTGGTCTGAGCAGCCCTGTGAGACTGAGAAGCGTCTCCCTAATTAGAGGGAGCCTGGTGCAGGACATCTCTATAGGCCATCAACAGGGCCCTCGCTGGCTTTGTTCCGCAGCCTCTTCTTACACTGAAGCTGTCACTTTACTTTTCTATAGGAGAGGGCCATGCTCTCTAACAGTGTTCCCAATCACAGTAACCGTTTGTGGACCTTTGCGAAGATATATCTGCAACATAACGATCTTTATATTGAAGAGAAAATGTTTCCTACTCCATTTTTGCACTAAAACTTAAACATAAGCTTATTGGCGTTGACCTCCTGTTGTGAGACATTAAGAGAGACTTCGCTTTGTTTATGCGGCTAACTTGTCACGGTGTTTTAAAATGCAATTACCTCCATCTCATTTTTGCATAGAAACCTAATTATTCACTGAGATATAAATTAGATTCCACATTCATGGAGAGCAGGAACCCCCTAAACTCCTGCAGGACGCCATTCAGCGGCCAGCTTCTTTCTCTCGCCGCTCCCCTTTTCTCTGCAGACCATGAGATGGAGAGTAGCCACTGCAGCTGCTATTCACATCAAGCAGATAATTGTTAATGAAAAGTCATTGCGTGGCATTATGTTGTCCACAGGATCATTGTTCATTTTCCCCCCTACGCCATTGAGATCTATATGGAGGACCAGAGTGTTTCCTTTGAGTTTTGGTATTCAGGATCTGTTGCCTGGTAACTAATAAAGGGGCAAATCATCCACTGTATCGGCCAAGATGGGCCGCAGACTGGCCCTGCACAACAATGCAAGGTTTGTAAAAAGGCGTTGAAACAAGTTAATGACGCTTGTTCAACAAAACATTAATGGACTTCTTCACGGTATAATATGGCATGGGATGCGATGTGAATGAGAGGGGGGGAACTTCAGCGGTGCACTTTTACAAAGTTTGTGTGTTTTTACTACGGGGAGGAGCTGGATACACACACACACACCTTTTTGAACCTCTTTGATGCACTTGCGGACTAGAACTACTGTTTTCCACAGAGGATTATAAACTTACACTAAGAATCTATAAAGAGAATACACTTTTTTTCTCTAATTTAAATTTAAGTTTCATGTTATTCAATGGGCCAGTGATTAATTGCCCATCATTAGATTTGAAAAGGGAGTGAACAGTGGAGGGTAACCGCTGCACTATAAAGTAAAAGGCACACAACTCTAGAGAGAAAGAAGAGGAGAAAGTAAGAGGTGGGGCCCTGAGAGCTTTACACATTTCTGAAATTCTTTTTTCCCCTTAATCTAGCATTTAAACAGTGAGTGATATAGAACCGGCCCCATTTGTTGAACTGGCTTCTTAACCAAAGCGGACAAAAAAACTGCAGCCCTGTCACCCCGAGCAGAATAAAGGGAATCAAAGGATTTTTCCCTTAAATGGACAAATTTTCTCCTTGAATTATGAAAGTAATGGCTAGGTAACAGCCTGTGCTCAGTACCCGACAGCTTAATGCTTCCTAAATCCTTCCACGTGGCTCCACTAGTCCTGGCAATTAGGCCTCATTATAGCCTCATAAAGGATCTCATTTGTGGGATTACTTAATAGACAATGAAATTTTATCGTGCAGAATTATGGAAAAATAATATTAGAGCTCGCATGGTGTGTCGAGGGCGCGCGCCACGCATCATTCTGCTTGGTTTACTCGCTCCCTCTCTCCCTCTCTTGCTTCTGACTGTTATCTGTACCATAACAACTCTGCGTCTTCCTTGTCAAGCGCTGGATTCACTTTATTATAGCAATTACTGTCTATGTGACAGACATGTTTTTTTTTTATCATTACCCTGGTTGGATTTTAAAGACTTTCTAATTCTTTCAAAAGACTGCATTTTAACTCACACTTCAGTAAGTGCTTCAGTTTGCTATAATCATGTATTTGCTCCAAAATAAAGGGAAAAACAGGAAAATTAGGTGTAAAATAAACAAAAACTGACTTATCAAACTTGGGATCCACAACAGGCCTATTACACTTATGTTTGTCCAATACATGTGTTTCTTCCTGAGGTCAGAGCAGAAACTAACACATGTTGTGTTGGACCTGGCCGTCAGCGCCATAAACCTACTGCCGGACCTCTGTCTGAAGGTTTGAGGCGTTACTTGGCAGATGAAAGCAGAAGCTAAACCTACCGGTGACCCGCCTGGGGATCAAACTCGCTAATTATTGTCACAAGATGAGGGATTAACGCATTTCTGAAATAGCTGCCTGTTTACCCCTGCACAGACCGACCATTATAAACACTTTCTAATTGAATCCTAATCGCCATCAAATAACCACAGTCCAGACTCGCCATCAGTTCATAATTCTTTAATTGCTGGAAGTGAAACCTGGACCAGCCGAACCCAAAGTAGCCTATGATTAGTTTGCAGAGCAATTAGTGGTTATAAGCGCGTGCAAAATTCTTTAAAATCGCATTTGGGAAAAATAAATGGACTATGTAACAAAAATAAGTCGGGGTAGAATCCATCAGAAAGCTTTGCTCCACATGCCAGAATAGGAGCACGTTATTTTATAAGCACATTATGGATATAGAAAAAATAAACATTTATCAAATCATGCCCTCAGGAAACTTAAGAAGTGATTATTCTCTTATAATAAAGTATACAAGACACAGAGGAGGGTGAATATTTCTATTTCTGTTTCCATTGCTCCTGCTCAACTGCATTCTTCTTTCAGCTGTTCCATTAAATGTATTCAATAAATGTTTTTGAAGTGATCAGAGTTTTTTTTAAAAGGATGTATAATTACATTTTACAATTTAGAATCTATATGACCAGATTCTTAAGGTATTTTTAATCCGAGTTTCACACTATAACCATATTTTTCAGCTGCATGGTTGTAAAAAGACATTTAGGAAGAATTTTTGTTACAGTTTTTACAAAATGAAAGTTTAGTTATTATATGGTTTGGACTAAGAAAGCCTATGCAAAGCTGTGTTCATAAGAAAATACATAAATAACTATTTTATAATGTTCCTTTTATTATTTGTCTAATAATTATAATACTATTGTTAATTTGGGGATAGAAAGAAGAGTAAATCTGCTAGTTGTGATTGGAGGCCAGGGGAGACATCACGTGGTTTGGGTCGTTGACAGTATAAACCCTTGGAGCCGGGTGCGCACGTGGGTGACGCTGTAGGGCCAGCCCTCTTCGGGATCCCTTTTGTTGAACCATCAAACATAAGCACCTTTGGAGATCCCGAGGGGTTCAGATGAGAAACAGCTATCATCTTGTACACGGGGAGATCACTTATCAGCAACGCAGCCATGTCGAGGTCTTTTTATGTCGATTCTTTAATAATCAAGGATACGGTTCGACCAGGACCAATTGAGCATCCCGGGCAAGACTTCCTTATTCCCATCAGCATGCACTCTCCGGGCATGATGACGGTCACCGCTCCGATGTGCCCGTCCAGGAAAACAGGGACTTTTTGTGTTTGCCCGCTGTGCGTGTCGTCCCACATCCACCATTCCCGCAGCGGCATTCCCATGCTGAAGAGTCATTTTCCAGGAGCGGAGGCGCAGTACTGTCAGAGGATAGCGCACCAGCAGTCTGCTGCCCTCGCGCACCCGGGACATACACCTGTCTGCACGCCCACCTTCAGCGTCACGGATCCCAGGAGATACCATTGCCTGTCTATCGGTAAGCCACCTGTTTGCTATACACTCTCGGCACCTGTCTGATAATATTGCTACACTTCACGATGCACTTACAGGAAGTTAGATGAAAGTAAACGCTCGGCTTTTACGCACAATTATTTACACGTGATATTTTGTGCCATTCGCATCTATAATTGAATTTAGACTTGTAGTGATACTTACAATTCAATCGTCTAACATGATGTATTCTTTCTTCCTCAGGCGCCTCAGACAACAGCCACATACAGAATGGCAAGAGGATGCGCACGGCTTTCACAAGCACGCAACTCCTGGAACTTGAAAGGGAGTTTTCCACGAACATGTATCTTTCGAGACTCAGAAGAATCGAAATCGCCACGTATTTGAACCTGTCAGAGAAACAGGTGAAAATCTGGTTTCAGAACCGCAGAGTGAAGCACAAGAAGGAGGGGAAAGCCACCCAAAGGAGCACACACAGCGGGTGCAAGTGCACAACCGGTCACACAGACTATTCAAGGTCAGAGGATGAGGAGTCTCTATCTCCGGCCTCTGCTTCAGAAGAGAAAGAGGTGTCACCCATCTGATAACAACTCTCCAATTCCCACTGCTGGCACTTACTCTGCCCTGCTGCAGTTATGGTTAACGGCATCATGACAAAAATATCCTGCATGAAAACTAAGAAGTGTTAAAAATGTCAGTTGTTCTTCACTTCATGTTTATTCCCCTTTAGAATTGAAGGAAAAATGTGAATACGTGTTTTAATACTGCCGTGAAATATTGGAAAACATGACCTAATGTATGCCGTAATAATGATGTATTTTGATCCATTCTGGATTCTAACCCGGGTATAGTCAACCATCCAAATGTTTTTAACTATTGCCTGATATCCCATTTCTGTCGGTGAGGTTGTGTGGTTAATAGTATAGGCCTAACCTCTGTGGAACCTGTGCGCAACTATTTGTAAACTATGTATATGAGTATTTATTGTAATAAACATGAGTTGACCTATAAGTTCTGTGCTGATTATTATGATCAATGATGAGTTCGGTTATAAAAATAACGGGATATTATCCTGCAAATATTTTTTGGATAATATAAACAACTATTGGAAAAGAAAATAATTGACAAATGAATATTGAAAAACATCAACTTAATACGCAATATAAAAATGTCCTTCATGGTTACATTTAACATAAATACTCTGCTTAAATTAGTAGATGAATTATTATTATTAGGAATTTTCTTTTTAATAGCACATGTACCATTTAGGACTAGCCCTGTAGTGATAAGAAAAAAGTATCCCATACACAATTGTAATTTAAATCTTAAAATAGGAGAATATATGGGTGAAAACAACATATTTAAAACCCCTATCAATATAATGCAATTCAGCAAAACTAACTTCAAAAGTTAGATCAATTCCTGTGACAGTCTCGACAAACACTCACAGAAGTATAGTTCTCTTGACGATTTCAATAGGCCTACATACATCGTTTCTATTGAGGAGTTTTTCACAAGTGCACATTAACAAGTAGTTACCTTTAATTATCAAACCTTTCCAACGTCTTTTCTATCGATCGAAAGCCATTGTTATTAAGCTGTCATCACGCTTTCGTTTATATTTTACAAGACTGTATACCCTACCAATGTTAATCGTGTTTTGTTTTTTTAAAACATAAAGCTCCATACATATATGACCATATAATATATGTAATTCAAAGTCGATGTAGTAAGGTATGAAAGTGTAATTTCTCCTTAGACCGACCACAAAAGGGTAACCGATAACGCCCCTGGGGAGCAGCCAATAGTCCATTAATGTTCACTTTTGAAAAGATTTCAGTCGTCCAAAGCGAGTTTAATTGCGTTTTCGGTCCCACGTTGGTTGATTATGCTGCTATTGCTTGAAACCACAGAACAAGGATATATAGAAGTGGGCAAAGGCTTTGACAGGTTAGATTGTCCTGCCTTGGGACTCGCATTTAGTCGGAGACCCCCGACGGCTGTGTGCTCAGAGAGCTTTGAGAGACAGCTACAGGGTTCCTCCGAGCGACAGAGAACGATTTAGTCACTGTTTCATTAGGCACTATTTGAACCTTTCAATTTATGGTGAATTAAAGGGGGCACGCTCAAATGGAAAGACTCTGAGGGGGGATTACGTGGGAGGGGCCACTGGAAATTAGCTGACGCCTAATTTAACTCGTTTCTGTCAGAGTTCGGGATACATTCCTAATTGAGAGGGGAAGCAGGTGAAGTCTTGGTCCCACGCAGACCCATTCAGAGCGGGAATAAATGGTCCCCTTTCACATCCCGCTGGTGATCATATATTATTGGGGGAAAGCCACCTAATGAATATTGAAGTTCCTATTAATCGAATTAGAGTTCCCTTGCAGGTGTGAAAGACCAATGCACCATTTAAAGCGATTCACAATGGAATAACCGCAGTTTTGAGAAAGACTTCCCCCTCCTCAGCCCCACAGGACGTGACCTCAGACTGCAGGCCCCAATGGCCTGAAGCTCATTTTGAGATCCATTAGTCCAGGTCATTCAGATATCTGTCCATAAACTGCTACACTCCCTAAAACTTCTTATCAGACTTATCAAACAAATGTGTAAAAAGATTGCAAAGCTGCGTGTGCAGATTGTACATTTCAGATGAAAGCGTCAAACACCTACACTGCCCAGAGTAACGAAACCACTCCAAAGACGTCAGGCCTCGGCCACCATTGAAAGTGTGGCAATTACGCATGACAAAAGACAATTAAGAAGAGCGCTTTTCAGCCGGTTGCAGCTGCTGTCTCATGCGGAGAGATGGAGGCTAGAAGAAGCTGAAGTGCCGGTGTGGAAAATAAGAGAGCAGCGTTGTCTTTTCCAGAAGAAACGTCCACTGTTTAATTAATCTGTGCAATATAATCCACAATAAATGCAGCCTTAACTTTTCATTTTAAATCAGAGTGGAGGGTGAAGAGATCTCGAAAAGGACGATAATTGTTTTTGTTTTCATCGTGGAAATCATCATAGTTGTAGCCTACAGTACAGAGCCAAAACCCAACAGGTCCCCACAACGCTGGAAACCAAACGACATTATTATTATTATTATTATTATTATTATTATTATTATTATTATTAGGGCTGTCAAGTTAACTTAACGAAATTTTTTTTAACGCATTTGTATGTTTTGTCCTCGGCCACCTATGATGCTGACAGCCCCCCTCTTGCCGCCCACTTACGGCAGACCAAGCTTCCACGCTCACCGGCAGGCCCGGACTGGCCATCGAGAGGACCGGGAGGGTGTGTGTATGTGTGGCGCGAGCGAGCGAGAGAGAGAGAACGCGCACACCTTACGTATTGTTGTTGTTAGCATCTGGTGCTAGCTAGCTGCGCTAACGGATATAAGGAGCTGTTTCAATGAAAAGGGAGCGACATTTTGCCGACTACTGCGCCGAGCACTTGACTTTATGCAGGTAGCCAGACAGTGGAACATTGTACGAAAAGTCAGCACNTACTCATTGTGAGGATACCCGGCCCGGAGGAAGCCCGGGGCTCTGGGGCCGGGCTTGCCACGGAGCCCGGCCGGGCACAGCCCGAAAAGGCCCACGTCGCCTTTTCGGGCTGTGCCCGGCCGGGCTCCGTGGCAAGCCCGGCCCCAGAGCCCCGGGCTTCCTCCGGGCCGGGTATCCTCACAATGAGTAGCTTTGTTCACATCAAATATTTGCCTGTAGAAACTATTGTTGGATCATACATTGCCAGTAAAAGGTTAAAGTGTATTCTATAGTTCAGAAATATAAGGCCTCTATGGAAGCAGCTTTGGAAAAAAAGAAAACTGTGATAATTGTACTGAAATAACATTCAAAACAATTTAACTTAATTGAACTAAATAACGTATTTTACGACAAAAACACTTTGTCTCTTTTATTTTACATACATTTGACTTTTTATCTTTATCTGCATTGTATTTAGTCAGTGCATGTTCAAATGTGTCCTTCTCAAACAGAGGTTTTGAATGAACCGGCTGTGGCTCCACTTTAATTTTAGTTTTTATTTTAGCATATAAATCAAAAAAGCACATTTTAATTATAATATTACATTATAAAAAATGCTTACTCACTGATAATAAATAGAATGGATTGGAATATTTATAAAAATTGTAATCGCTTTCACAAGACGGAGAAATGTGTTACTTCTATGATAAAATCACATTTGATAAGGTATTACATTTCAAAAACTCATGTTCAATTCATTAACACCACTTGACAATTCAATCCTAGATTTGCCTCTTTTTCTAAATGTATCTTAGAAATGACCCCTGACTGAGCCAACAATACAATCTGTCGCATATGTTTCTAATTTTTCCAGAATGATTCTGGACTCTGAACTATTCTTGGTGCTGGATAAGTTTAACATAAATGCAGGTTTTTAATGGGGGGATGGTGCAGATTGTAGTGGAGTTTAATTTCAATGCTATAAGTTATCTTCAAGTCCTGTGGGAAAAATGACAAACATTCCACTAATGTGGACACCACTTGTTCAGAGACAAATTCACAAGCCAAGAAATGTTTACAGCTATACATTGACAACATGTGCATGCTCTGGCTGCTGAAGCCACCTGTTTTTTTCCCCCTTGACATAACACACACGGACAAGAAAATACACA